GTTAACGTGTGCGTGTGTGCGTTGAAATGGCGTCGAAGCGGAAACGAAATGTGCTTACAATGGATAAAAAGTAAGATGCGTTGTACCGAATTGACAGGGGCGAACCTTTAAATAAACTTGCTGCAGAGCTCGATGTGGGGACATCAACTGTGTCGGACTGAAAAAAAAAACGGAAAAATATTGAAGATTTTTGTTTCAAAATGATATCTAAAGACAGTTTCAGGGTAGAGGAACTATCAAAAAGGCTAAAAATTAATTGTTGGGCGAGGCATTATTTATGTGGTATAGTGCTAAGCGAAAACGTGGTGTCCCTATTTCGGGGCCGATTTGATCTGGCGAAAGCGTTTCTAGTAATCAGGCAGGCAGTGAACGATGTATGGACAAATTTCAACAAATTATTTCTTTTAAGAACCTGTCACCTGACCAAATTTACAATGTGGACGAAACAGGACTTTTTTACCGAGCAAAACTTTGGTTTCCAAAGTTGAGGAATCAGACAAGGGTTACAAAAAAGCAAGGATTGGTTAACTGCTATGGCTTGTAGCAATGCTTCTGGAAACCATAAACTTCCACTAGTGATAATTGGGAAGTCAAAAAATCACCGTGCATTTAAAAATGTAAATCGTGCATTTCTGCCTGCAGTGATCAAAATCAAAAAAGTGCGTAGATGAACGGCTTTATTTTTAAACAGTGGTTTTTTGAGAATTCCGTCACTGAAGTGAAAAAATTCCTCAAAGAAGACAAACTATACGAAAAAGCGATTTTGTTTCTCGAGAATGCACCATCTTATCCTGCAGATCTCATAAACGGAGATATTAAAGTTAAATTTCTCCCCCCAAAACCCACGGATCTGGTGTCTTGGAAACTGGCTTACTTACTTTAACGTGTCCGGACATGTCATTCATAAAATTTCGGCCCAGTATCACTACAGCCAAACAAGACATCTTGGAAACTGTCAAGCGTGTTTATCGCAGCGAACTCTTAAGCAAAGTTATTGAAGAAGAAGGCGAACTCTTAAGCAAAGTTATTGAAGAAGAAGGCGAACAGAGCCTGATTGATTTGTTAAAGCATATAAATGTCAAAGATGTGATCTACATGCTTGCAGATGCTTGGGATCAAGTAAAAAAACCAATTGGAAAAAATCGTGGCCAAACATATATGCCTTATAATGAATGCTGGTACTTCGCACACAAGTGTGTATATCCACTCAGGAAGCAGGCAACAGCGAGGGTGAGGCGGAGGGAGAGAGCACACGGCCAGAAATGACACAAGCGGACGCGACGTTACAGCTGAACAACATCATGGCGTATTTGGAGCAACATCACAACACCACGCCAGCTGAACTAATGATGGTGAATAGTTTACGTGATCGTGCCGCATTAAAACGTCACACAAAATTAAGACAAAGGAAGATCAAAGACTTTTTTGCAAATAATAACTAATGCTCGCGTAAATCATATAGGGTGTAAATATAGTAAGGTATCATTTCACATGTAGTTTTCTTAACCTTATTATATTTCTGGATTATCCGGATTTTCGATTTACCGGATCGCTTCCAGTTAGTCCAGTTAAACGAGGTTGTACTGTACATACAAGATTTATCTGTTTAATTTTACATATAGTCGCTTAGAGGGCGCCACCAATAAAACCTTCCGACACAAACGTAACCTCAATCTTTCAAAGTAAATCAATAGATTTATTGCAATACAACAGGTCGTGTAGATACAGTGAATTTTTGAAATTAAAAAATAGGTCGAAAAATGGATCTTAGCCGAGAACATAGCAATAATTTTTTACAAATTTCTGAGAGGGTTATTCCAACAGCAATATCTTGCTGAAATGGTTTTTGTGTTTGGGAATGAAGCATCACACCAGTCAACTATTTCCTGCTGGTATTGCGAATTTAAACGTGGTAGCTCCAGTCTCAGATACTGAGAGATTAAGGCATCTTTGGACGTTTCAAAAACCTCGATCCAAAAGATTCTACATAAAGAACTGGGTGTGACGAAGTTAGTTTCCCGTTGGATCCCTCATTTGCCTACAGAACAGCAAAAAGTGGCTCGAGTCAATCAGTGAAGTACCTAGAATTTTCCTGGAGGGAGGGTTTGGCTGGGCACCGAAATTTTTTTTATACTACCTCCATTTTGAGTCCTTAACATTTGGGCTTGAGTTTGATTTAAAGTACTAAAGATAACAGTGCCAAAGATTTAGGTATCTGTTATCCTGCCTACCAACTAAAACCACCCTACCACCACTCCTACTTGTGTGCATGTACCGTACTCCGAAAGTGGGATGGCTGCTGTAAGGCTGACGACATTTTTGTAACACTCCCTTCTCTTATCTAGATCTTATTTCTGTCATTGATCTGGTTGGTGTTTCTCTTCTTCTTTTTTCTAATTACTGTTCTGATGTAATTGTGAACACTATTCCATCCCTCCTTACTTCCCGTCATTTTCACGATCATCTCTCTCACAGTCACAGGGTTCATACCTATTTCTCTATACATTATCTTTCTCTCCACTTTACATTACGTATGTATTATCTTTCTGAACCTACGAAAATACGCCCTAAAACAGACAATCTACCCAGTCCCTTAGGCTCGGGATCAGCATCTTGGTCCACTCGGCAACATCTTCCATATTGTTTCACTCTTCTTGACATATTTTCATTGATCTTTCCCTTTCTGTTTTATGAATGTTGTCAAATGTTCTCTTATCTCATAGAGATGTCTCCTTTCTACTGCTAACACATGCAGAGGAACACTCTACTCTACTCTTATAATGAGCCTAATATTAGGTATCTATATCTAAATATAATGAAAAATATTATTAATTATTGTGTATTTATACAATAATTATTGTATTCTACATATTTAAAGTGGTAATTTAATTATTAAATTGGCATTTTGGATTATTTGTATTGTGTGTGAGAGACAAGTGCATTTGTCCTACTGCTACTAGATACTATTGTGCATTTTCCTACTATTCTTTATATTTTGCTTTATATGCCCTGGGGGAGGGGGTTTAACCCCCAAAACCTCCTGGGTGCACCACAGGCGTCAGTTGGTGTTGAAAAACATTGGACGGGTTCAACAAAGGAAGCTCAAAAAACGTTTACAGTATTGTTAAGAAAATAAATGTCAATCCGCTGTGTGGGTGTTTCACGATGAGGAAAAACCTACAAAAGTTATCCATTCTCGAGTGTGTCAAAGAAAATGGTTGCAACTTTTGTGCCAAAACCTGGTCATGTGACAATAATTGCTTTAGAAGATTGAAGAATGGTTACTTACTACTCCAACAAAACAACACACAACTACGAATCATCCTACATCAGGACAACGCAAGTGCTCACATTGCCCAAAAGACAATAGAGTTTTTGGAGCTTCGATACATCGTATTGTTAAACCATCCGCAGTGTAGCCCCGACGTAAGTCCCAGCGACTTTTTCACGTTCCCAAAGATCAAGAATTCAAAGCGTGGGCAGCGATTTCAGTCGCCAAAAGAAGCCATCGATGCCTTTAAAACTTACAATAATAAACAGCTACTTAAGAAAATGTTTGTACATCCCGTAGTTATTAGCTGCTTTGTTTTGGATAATTTGCAATGAAAATATGATAAATGTTATTATTTTAATTCGGCTAGCCCCACTCCTTTTAGTCTAGTTGAAACGAAAAGTACTATTTATTTACAACACGCTTGTTTTAACAATTGACAATAATTTTGTTTGCTAAAAATTTTTTTAAACACTGTGACTTTTCTTATACCTTATGTGAATTAGGTGAGATAAAGATGCTGCAATCAGAAAAATTTTCAACTCAAGACGACCAGTGGAAAGATGATCCAGAGGAAGACCAAAACTTAGGTATCAAGATAACATAGACGATGATCTAAAATACATCGGAGTTAAAGCATGGAGAAGAGTTGTTAGAGACAGGGGCGAATGGAAGATTGTTCTGAAGAAGGTTTTGGCTCATGACGAGCTGTAATGCCACTGATGATGATGATGATGACTTTTCTTATAAAAGATTGGTTGATTCCAACCGTTAATATTGTTAAATTAACGATACAGTTATTTTCTTATAAAAAAGGCTATCTTGGCTCCTAAAGGTTGTAGGACCTCTTTATTTATGAAAGTTGTGTTTTTTAATCAGTTTTCCGAATATTTTTTGCCATTTAATTTGAACTAAATTCGAAAGCGTTATTGTAAATATTTATAAGCTCAAAAAGTGCTCTTTATTATTAAATTATTTTGTGTAAGTACATAAATGTAATTTTTTAAACTTACTTTTTTCCATAGGTCATTAATATAGGTACGTTTTAATATAGAAAATAAGTACCGGATTATTGAGATACATCCAGTCAAATTATCTGGACCGGCCTTAGAAATTAGCTCATTTTTCAAAAAAAATCTTTAAACAAATTAAATTACGCAAAAACTATTCAACCAATCTGGTCCATCTTTTGCACACAATTCAAATACTATAAGACCCTTAAGTTCAGCTAAACTTAAACTTTTTGTTTTTCATTTGCAATAACTTTTTGTGTATCATCCGATTTTAATTTAGCGTATCTCATTTTGTATTTTTTTTTTTCTGAAAAAGTTGTCCGTTGATGTCAAATCTCTAAATAGACTATTTTTTAAGTTATGAGCAAAATAATGAGTATTTTGCATATTGGCATTTTGATTGTTTATTTAAAAATATTTCAACTAAAAAATTGATTAATCCCTAGATGAGAGTGTTTTGTATTATATCATAATACACATTTCAACAGTCAAACCCGTCTATACAGTTATGACGAAAAAATTCTAATTTTTTATTAACTTGATTAATGATTGGTATAATAGGAAATAAATGAAAATTATCCAGATGGGTGACTATAGTTTACCAAATATCAGGGTAGAGTCTTGAGTAACCAACTCTGTATGTGAATAATATGATAGTATGCTACAACATTGATCTATAAATGAAAATATATATATATAAAAAAGTAAAAACTCACCTTGAGATTTGATAAATCCCATTGACCATTATTATCAATCTGGTATTTGTGTATCACTCTTGCACCAATCTCTTCTAAATATTTAAGTGCTGACTCTCCCACAACTTTTCCACCATAAAACAAATTTGAGGAAGCTTTACCTCTCATTTGGAATTTAGCAATTTTTTGTAAAATTGCTACCAAAGTCTCAGATGTGTGTTTGGACAATTCAGTAGATGTTGAATTTACAAACATATTTATTTCTAATTTCTGATCTTTACTATCTTTTATTTCAAAACGGAGTTTAAGATTGATTTTTGTCTCTTTTTGTAGTGGGTTGCCAATATTACAAATAACTAAAGTTTCATTAGAAAAGAGACATTTTATACCGTCAGATATGTTTCTGTCACTCTTTAATACAACATAACTCAATGCTTTTGGATGCACAACAAACAACTTGGCTTCATATGCTGATTCACCTGTGTTAGATACATTTACTTCAAGAACAAAATCTTCATTTACCATATTGACTTCATAAGCTCCAGTTTCATCTTTAGAGAGATTAGTGCCAGCTCTCAACGTTAAGTTACTTTCACAAACATCGTCTGAACCACATTCCTTTTGGAAAGAGGCATATATTACTTTAACAGATGTGGTATTTAAAATGGGAGTATGGAATGCATTATCCTCTAGTGTGTAGTTAACTCTGAACATTATAGGAGAGAGTATATCTTGAACTCCTTCCTTAATATTGACAGTTTCCTCCTGGCAATATTGGGAAGCTCCATTAACAGGCACAATTTTAGTTCTTCCAGGTGAACGTTTATCAGGTAGGTCATTGTCTACAAACCAGATTCTATTAACAAATTTCTTTACTTCACTGATGTTATAAATAACATTAAATTCAGTATCATGTTTTATATGTCCAACCACAGAAAAGCATGTTTTAAATGAAAAACATGTGTAATTATTATTTGGTAGCTTCTGGCATCCTTTATTAGAGGCATTTATATTTACTAATTCATTTCCTTCCACTGTAATTTTGATGTCAATGATTGGTCTTGTCTTAAACAACAATACTCGATCAGATTCAAAAGCTCCAACTAGTAAATCTGGATAACCATTGTTGTCCATATCTAGACCACCACTTAAAGAATAACCAAGTGTAGTAATTTGCTTCTTCCTTATAACTTGAGATGGTTCACTATTGAGACCATCAGGTGATCCTAAGTAAATGTAAACAGCTCCATGTTCATCTTCATATGGGGCACCTATAGCAACATCATTATAACCATCTTTATTTATATCCCCTAAAGATGTCATAGCAAATCCAAAACGAGAGTATGCTTTTCCAATTAATCTGTTATCATGAGGACACTTATCTTGAACACAATTTCTAATATTGTAATAAATATACACTGCCCCTCCATTTTTGTCACTATTATAGTAGAATGGAGCTCCTACCAACAAATCATCATAACCATCATTATTGACATCTGTAGCAAGTAATTCATATCCAAAACTAGCGGCAAACTGTTCACCAGTTAAAATTAGGGAAATATTTAATTCTTCAAAGGTGTCATACTTTTTAAAGAGGTAAACCTGGCCAACCATCTTTGACCTAGGTGCCCCAGCCATGTATGTGTATTCAGATTTGTTGAAGAAATGTCCTCCTCCAACACTCATGCCCAAATAACTAGAACAAAATAGATTTATTAATGATTTCATTAGATCAAAAAATAAAACTATGATTGGTAACTATTTCAAAACTAAGTAGAAAAAGATGAATCTAAAATGAAGCTAATTTAATTTGTCATTGAATAATTTTTAAACTATTTTTTAACAAAAATTATATTGAATTATGAATATTTTATTTGTTTAAACCATGGACGTATAAACATAGATGGACACAGCAATAAGATACCTTTAACACACAATGTTTTGAAGCTTCAATAAAATGTGATGCTTTCCCAATGAGCATAAGCGTGCTTGAATTTTTACTCGCGGGTAATTATTCAGATTTTAAAAATTGGAAGTAGTAATAATGTATAAAAACATGTTCAAAGAATTTAAAAAAACAAGAGAGTTTAACTATTAACAAATCACGTCTTTATAGAAAAATTAAAATACAATTTTATTTGCTTTAAAATTAATACAATACAATATAGTTGAATTCAAGTTAATTTTTAATAGGTATCAAAATAATGTTACAATAAAAAATCTTTATGTTTTCTCCTAAATTTGCTACCAAAATAGTTCAATCGTCAATATTATTTGGAAACCTACATAGAAAAATAAATGAGTTTTATTCATTTCACTAATTTATTTGCATCCATGAGAAATATTAAATTAAAAAGGTACTAAATAGATCTCTTTTAATCAGATGATGTCTACTTACAATTTAAAAAATGTCTACTAATTTCATGAACTTATATCTTATTCAATACATTAATGAACATGAATAAACCCAATGGTACGCCTATTAAAATGTAAACAAACACGCTTCCTCATTTCCTCATCTTGAATAATATAAATTGTATGTACATACAAATGAAATGGGAGATCAGGATGTAAATATTTCGTTTATTTTATTTCACTTTTCACAAATATCACTCAAAATACAGCCAAAAAAATCGAAAAACAACTTTTATTAAAAAGTAAACAAACATGGAACAGCATTTGAAGTTTGATGTAGATCCATAAGACAGAGAAATGTAAACAACCGTTGCCATTTATAAATAGTTTTCAGTGCTTCTACATATAAAATAATTGATTGATATCTATTATATGCTATTATTAAATGATAATGCACACTATGTGCACACTTTATATTTTGATTACAATTAAATATATTAATCTAACCAATAAATTATTTTCGTTTGATAGCACCTGTAGAGTATAAAATACAGAGTAATATTTTCAGCGACTCGCGAATAAGAAATTTTAAAACAAAACGTGACAACAGTTGAAGGTGCTGAGATTGTGACCTATTCAAATAATTTTGACTTCACGATTTTATGTAAATAACTGAGTCCATTTGTGTTTATACGTCCATGGTTTAAACCAATTTGAATAAAAAAATGGACTTTCACAACCACTTTAAAAAATTCCTCAGACTCACCTAATTAACCTATTTTACTAGTATGTTTGAAAACTTATATACACTTTCATGCATAAAATAAGTCAGTGATTTATATCACAAAGAATTTTTACCCAGCAAAGTTTTGAACATTTTCTAATTTTTAGAAAATGGAAAAAGAACTATAATTTAATTAATGACTTAATAATAAAACCTCCAAAACTCGAATAAATATTTTGTTCCCTTCCCTTCAAGCCTCAAAACCTTCATTACTCGAAATCTCAACCCTCTATTAGTCGAAATAATCAGTGAGTCTATGCAAGCCATTTTGGAACATACTTCCCTCTATATGAACTATATTGCCTCTGAAGAAAAATAAGTTACAACTTTAAGAACTTGCAGACAATGTAAGGATACAATTGTACAATGTTTACAACTCAATTATTTTTATTACTTCTATAGCTAAAAAAAAATAAGTTATCAACTTTGAAGAAGTCACTATGGTGGCAATATAAAGACACCATTGTCTATTAGAAAACAATTTGGGACTATACAATAAATATGATTACAGCCTAAGGAATTTATGACTCTTTAGGGCACAGAAAAATTCTCACTGTTTTGCAAAATGTTAATCACTACCCTTGAAATATGAAGCAAATACAAAAGCATGGATAATTTGGTAAGAAAATGGCCCAAAACAATGAAAAACCTTGTTATTCATTGATAATTCTAGAGCCCATAATGATATCCCACAAATGAAAGCAGTTAAATATCTGCCCAAATATCGATACATTTTTGGCAAAGTAACGTAAGTGACAATTTTGGCGAAAATCATGTTTTTCAATTAAACTAACATTATTATTGTTAAAAGGGTACTGTCAAAGTGTAGTAAGCGTCGAATTACTTTAAACCTTTTTTAGAACAAGTAGGACAAGTTTTTTCAGTCATAATTTAAATAATTTTAACCAGGTTGAATTAAAAAATTGTTTTTTCTACAAATCGTGTTTGGTAACTTATGTTACTTTGCCAAAAATGTATCGATATATCACATCTAAATTACATCTTATGGATCAAGATATCATTATTTAAAAATTTCAAATCATATCGAAAAAAAAAGTTGTCAGGAACATGTTGGAAAATATTGAACAAAAAGAGAATTTTACTATAGATTTATTGTAAGCCATGAGAATGGCTGATAAATCTTGGAGAAATGTAACTATGTCTAGATCAAACTGTTGTGTACACTATGGTTTTCTGAACACAATAGATGAAGCTTAAATTGAAGATGTTTCTATTACACCTCCTACAGAATGGAATAAAGAGGTGTCTGAATGAAGAACACCCTTTGAGGAATTTATTATGGGCAATGATGAAGTTACTACTGCTGGGACATTATCTGATGATGAAATTATCAATTCAGTAGCTCATAAAACAAATACTAATGATTTAGAATGAATAATATGACATGCTTTCCATCAAAGAGACAAGAAAAACATTGCATACTTTACAGAATTTTATAGAGCAAACCAGTAACTCTGAAGAACAAAATATTCTGGTCTTTATATGTTAGAAAATCCTATAGGTAGGGTACAACAAAATTTTCTAAAGCTGAAATAATTACTGAATTTTTTTAATGTCATATTTTTAATATTCCCTTAATATGCCTTAAGAGCGTAGGTGCAAAATTTCAGACCAATGCTTTTTGAATGCATTAATTTTTTTCGAATCCTGAGAAAACTAACAAATATTGTTGAAAAATTTAAATGCAGAATGAAAGATTACATTATTACCGAGGGCCGAAAGTTCCTTAGAATAAACAAAAAGTTTTTTTTGAATGAGATATTTGAAATTAAAAATCCCAGTAAATTTTCCCTTTTTTTCACCTTTGTAACTTATTAAAATAAACAGAAGTTTTCAGGGACTTTCGGCCCTCAGTAATAATGTATTCTTTCATTCTGTGTTTAAATTTTTCAAAAATAATGTATTCAAATAATGTATTCTTTCATTCTGTGTTTAAATTTTTCAAAAATATTTATTAGTTTTCTCAGGATTCGAAAAAAATGAATGAATTTAAAAAGCAATGGCCCGAAATTTGGTGCCTACACTCTTAAGTCGAAATCCTCCATAAGTTGAAAACTTTATAACTCTTTTTAGCTTTTAGCTTTTTAGCATCTTCCTTGAAATTAAACTTCTACTGTACAATGCAAAATTTTGAAATAGTTACCTTACAATGTAGGTACTGATCTAGTCTAGCAACTACTTACCTGTATTTTTCAATAATGTCAATATCTCCAAAAGGAGAATGATAAATAGTTTTATCCATAGTCAAATAATCTCCAACAACATTCTGTCCAAAGAATGTACCTCTCCAAGTATATGGTCCTGGTGCACCCATTAAAGCAAATTCATCACCAACAAAAGAAGCACTGGTTCCCACTTGACAAAACCCAAACTGTTGGTGAAGATTTTCCATTCTTCTCCCCTTACACAGTAACAAGGTTTCAGTAACACCTAAGTTTCTGTCCAGTAAGTAACATAAACCTTGCCCATAGTGAAATTTTTGTAGATTTTCACTTTTAATATATCTATGTGCACACACCAACACTACTCCTCCTGGTTTTTGTGATCTTACAGTAACTCCCAACCACTGACCATCTTTAATTTCATCATTTCCTGGAGGTTTTAATTCAGTATCGTCGACTGCTTCATCAGTATAATCAAAATCCTCTCTTTTTCCATCAGTTTCTATTTGGACACAGTCATCATCCCTATTGGAAATGGGACATTTGAACAAAGCTCCAGAATGATTTGTACCAGGTTGAATATTGTTTCCTAGAGGAGCACCTACTAACATCCAAAAACCATTTGATTTTCCTTTACTAGTCAGGGATTCTGTGCTATGTTGTGCCACACTGAAGCCAAAATAAGATTGTTGTTGATCTTCTGGAGCTTTCTTAACTAAAGGATCTCGGTCTTCAAAATTAAAACAGAAAACTGTATTCCAAAGTAATCCATTAATTATAAACAAACTGTACTTTGTTTTATACATTTTAATAGTTGTGTTAGTTAAATTCTACAAGAATTTTCATAATATATAATCACAGATGTTGCTTAACTTATACTACTTCAACAACTTCAAACCTGTGTGGAAATCAGAAACTAAATTACTAAATAAATATTGTCAAATGTCATACTCAAATATATAATCTGTCAAATTTATATAAAAAATCAACATAAAATGTATGACAGATAACATAGAAACAGGTTTTTATTTCAAATCTTATTTCCTTCTGATGCATTATATGTAAGTTCTATCTCTCTCGAACGCAAATTCATAAAACATACAAATTTTGATGAATATCTTTTATCTCTATTTAATATAAATCTTTAAGTAAGCATATACATCTTGTTAAGAGATAAACAAATACAATTACGAAAATAAAAAGAAAAGCTTGATTTTCCAGAGTATTTTTTAATAAAAACAAAAGTATCTAGTATGATAGTCTTTGAAATAAGGAAGGATATATTTTATTTCCTTGTTAGGACAGTAAATGTCAAGCGTCATTCTATATTATGCCATCCTATGTCATTAAGGAATAACCAACAGTCTACTGCTCAATTCGATCTGATCGATTACAGTATTTCCAATGACAAGGAATAAAAGAATTCATATAATCCGTGCTGACCGTGCTAGAGATATCCATTCATGTCACCTTTGGTGCATTGATTTCACACAAGTGAAAATATTGTTGTGTTAATTTGAAAAACTTTTTAGTGAATTTCCTTAGCAGTGACTAAGAAATACACACAGTTCAGTTTACCATGGAGAAAAAACAGAAGGCCCCCAAGGAGAAACGAAGGTTAGTTTATATTGTGTGATAAGTTTAGTTAATTAAGGGTTTGCTTATTTGGCTTTTATTCATGTATGGTTCAGTAACACCAACTAGTGTCCTTAATTTTTGATATGATATCTTGTTTTGGAGCCTTTAAAGGTATATTTTATAACTGGCATCAAAGTTGTTGATTTAAATAAGTCAAAATAAGTTCTGTGGAACTAGTCATTTTGGTGTAAACATGATTACTCTTTGTGAACTATAAATGGCCCACATAATTGATTGTTACAATTTTTTAATATACACTTAACTAATTTTATTATACTACTATTTTGTTGTAACAAATTGAATCCCTCTTAAAATAATGCCTTAACAATCTTTCAATATGCATTCATGGTGTTATTTTGTTTAAACTATTCTTGCCATATACATTTGTTAAATTTCTATATAATATCTTTGTGATGAACAATATTACCATTACATTATATACTATGGAATTTCAAAAGTTTCTCTATTTGAGGATCAAATAGGAAAGGATTATACTGACAATTAATATGACCCACTTAACATAGATATTGTGTGAGATAATGTAATCATAAATTAACAGTTCACTACACAATATACATTACTAGTGACCTGAGCTCTCCCTTACAATATCAATTTTTACTGTAAATTAAGTTCTTGTTATTAGTTTATTTATATAAATTCTATTCCACTCCCTTAGATTTTTTATCTATGAACATATTGTGAAACCCAACCAGCTTCTGTCTGCATTTTTCACACATGTTTTGTAAGAGCTTTGCGTGTATCTACTGTATGTATCTGGACACAAATTGTCTACATTACTACAGTAGACTACACTATTAATTCAAAATGTGTATTTTGCCCTCTGTAAATAGTGGAGTGCTATTAGCGCTAGCAATTCTTTATCTCATCCCATGTCTCTTATTATGTCTCATTTTGTTATAATTCTGTAACTTTCTGTACTTTTGTTTAACCTTTTAACAGATACTGTGTTCTAGTTACTCAGATTATTGTAGTTTAAAGTAGTGATCACTTTTTTTGTTTATTTTTTAGTATATTGTATTCGTTTAAATTTGAATAGTACCATAATTTATAGTTATCACTTGTGAGTTTTTAAGCTAATGATAAATCAAATTATAAGCAGTCTAGTGATGTGTTAAACATTTTAAGCTATAAATTTAACAAACTATGCTATACAGAAACAAGTTTATACAATCAAAGAAATTAAATGTAATTTTTTACCTTTTTTTATATCTTTTATTTTCATAATCTTTATGATCGGTTTCACATTTGAGTTAAACCTAATCACACTAAGATGTTTTGAGCAATTCACTAGTGAAAGATTATCTAAAACTGCGTCTCTAGTGCCTGGGAATAAATACAAATAGGAATGAAGAAGCTGCAGCTTGAGTGGCATATCAAGGGATTAGGTAACTAGATCTGTGTAGTTCTCATATATCTTGTTATCTTTGAAGTTCTTACATACTCTTTTGAAGGTAGCTATTTTCTTTTCTAGAATATGTAGTTTCAATATATTCATCTTTAAAAAAAAATTATCTAGTGCCCAACAAAAATTCCTTCTTAAACTTTGCCTCACTTATGTCCTCGGATCTCATCACAAATAAAAACAGTATTTCTTTGACTGTTAAAGGCTATAATAACATATTTTATAAACTCTACTTTTATGTGCAGTGGAGGTAAATAATTTGTCCTCCATTCTACTAACGTTCATCCAAGAGATTTTTTCATTAAAACCCAGATAAAGTTGTTTGAAAACCCCATACAATGTTTTTCCATAGATTGTGTTTTTTACCTACACTATGCTGGTTTCTGTCTAATGTTTTTGTAGCCAGTTTACAGTGCTGTAATTGGTATAACCTTTAGATCAGTAGCTATATTTAATATGTTTTAAGGTAATACATTATGTTGAAACATATGGTAGTTTGTTTCCAAATTTCCTTTAGTATATTTATGTCAATGAATTGTTGTCAGTAGATTTCTAGGAAAGACCAAATTTCTAAACCTAGCATATCATGATAATACCTTTTCTGAAATGTCCTTTTTATAATAGCCATTCAGCTGTTCTTGAAATATATAATTGGGTTGTATACTGATTCTGCATTTAAAATTGTCTTAAAACTTGGACCAGCTTTTGGTTCAAAGCCATGTATTTCATTTATATAGCATTTTTCAGATAAAAAAGCTTGCATGTCATTCAAGATTTACATTGTTAGAACCCCACAGCGTTGCCAAAATATCAGCAAAAATACATAAGAAACCATTTTAATACAAAATTATATATTCTTAATTTTAAACTTACATCTTTTATGGCTTTAATAACAAAAACGTCCCGCCATTATTTCTTGTTTAAAATAATCTATCTTATATGAAAGCTTATCAGCTTTCTACAGACTTTTATTTGTTTTGGCATATCACAATCACAATACACAACAATAATTATTAGTTTTTAAAGCTATCAATCTAAATTTAAAATGCACTTATAAATACAATTTATTAAATACAATTTATTAATATATATATATATATATATATATATATATATATATATATATATATATATATTATATTCTGATCAAATTGTGTAAGAAATCAAAACATAACAAAATTTCTACTCTAAAAAACACTTTATATACTTTTGCCACCCGCTGAACTGTCAATAATATTTGATATATTTCTGTATCAGTTGCATACAATTGTCTAATATATTTAATTAAAATTATTATTTTGTGGAATATTAGACTTCAAGAGTTATTTCATAAAATTTATATTATTAATAATAATAAATGTTTTTGGTTATTTAATCAATATAATTCTAAAATTTCCAATATACTGATGATTATATTTTTCTGATTATTACACCATGTTGACGCCTATGAAAGATCGAGCAGTTCCGTATATGTTTTGTATTATTAGCTGTGTTAGGAAAATTTGAACTATAAGGTTGATGTTCTGGAAATTTTAAATACAAGTGACGTCGCTTTGTATAAATTGTGACATGCGTTTTACTTTGAAAAATGGTATATATAGAATATACCTGCTTTGTAATCAAAAATATGTTGATATTCTCTAGATTTTGTATGTGATGTGACATATATGTTAAGAGCACCAACTTCTTTATCAGAGCATATACATCCAATATAAACATTGAAAATAGTAAATATAAGGAGAATGAGTATGTTTTCGTCACAAACAGTACAAAAAATTAAATACAATATTTAAACCTAAACCTAAACTTGCTAAATCAGTTCTTGTGTGGTAAATTCCAAAGCAGGGTGCAGAGCAAAGACCAGTATAACACTCTTTGCACCATTTCCTATTTTCTTTTCTTATTTTGTTTTCAGAACAGACTATATATCTACAAAAAGAACAAGTATAATGTAATATCTTATACTGCATAAAAGTTATACAAAGTTACTTTTTCATGGGTTTTGCCTTAGTTGTTGGTAGGATTTATGAAGCAAAATGCCTTTCTATGAGCTTTGATTACATTTTAGTTGTCGATCCTCTCTTTTGTTAATTCAGTGGTACACTATACTTTTTTCTCAATTTTCTCAACAATTTTTTCTCCAACTACAAGCATACTCACTGTCTCCTTTAGATTTGGTATTGTAATAGGGATATGAATTTCCATTAGATTCATAGAATTCATTCTAGCTATTGCTTTCACTAGAACTTAACACCTTTTACTCTAACCAGACAACATATACTTCTTCTAAAACAAATACATCAACTCTGGCTGTGTGGACTAGTAGTACATTTTATATCTCACATATGGATTGGGCCTAACAGTATATCCATCCCTGGCTCACAAACATAGTTTAATGCAAATATAATTGTCTTAAACATACAAAAGCTTTGTAAGGCAAAAATTTGGTGGCATCGGCTTTAGACCTTTATCCTATACCATATCTTTCCTTAAGTTGTTAAATTTCTAGTAATATTGTTGATATCCAGTTTTCTTCAGCTTCTCTGCACTTTTTTCTGCTAATTTTATTGAATCCTTTGTACTCTTTGATCTTAAGTTCATGAGGTCTATGATCTCTTGTGTTATCCATTTTGTTTTCTGTTTTCGTGAATCATAGATGTCATCTTCTTGTATCTTTGTTATTTCCGTTTTTTGGAGCAGTCCATATTACTTCAGCATCTGTTTATACCAAGTTCTCTATCATTTTGATTTCTTTCTCAACTTTAATACTTACGTATTTTCCCTTTTTCTTTCAGGAACACATGTTAATTGAAATAAAAATTG